TGTGAGTGAGATCAGACATATTTTGGTGGGTTTTGGAAAAAGATCAAAACTTTGGTGAAGAAAGAGCTGAAGATTGGGATTTGAAAGAGAAGATTGAGAAATAGAGAAGAAAATGGGTGGAAAAGTCAGTATGCACGTCATTGGGGTTACAGCCATCTTCATTTGTATGGTAAGTGACAAACCAACGTGTCTTTTCTCAGCTTGGATTCCACTTGTATGGTAACAGACAACACACACACAGGATTTTTTTTGAAAAAAATAAGATTGTGAGGTTGATATGTTGAGCTGCGTAAGTGTGGAGTTGGAGGAGTTTGCCCTTTACTTGACTTGCCCAATGGGCTTCTTTATTTCATAAATAAATCAGAAAGTAGGAGAATTCTATAGCTAGTTTGTATTCTATATGGGATGGAGACTTGTTTGGTACCCTTTTCCTCTCATGATATTTTGTTTTCTCATGTCAATACATATATGTAATTATGTATTACAAGCTTAGTTAATGGAATGGGTTCTCGTTTTAAGATTTGTTGTGTCCATGTCAATCTTAGTTCAACTGGTGGAGACGTGATCGATCTTCAACTAATAGATTGTGGATTTGAATATTTATCCTCACATGTTTTTGTATTGATAAAATGATTATTGTTATGTCTATATCTAGTCTCTAATACTTTAAAATATTTTTAATAAGCTAAGTTCTTTACCTTTATTTTTGGGTTTAATAAGGTTATTCCACTTCAACATTTACTATAAAATTTTAAGGTTGTGTGGTGGTCAAGTTCTAAGCATTTTGGCGATGGTAAACATATATATCAACCTAACAATATAACCTATTAAATACAAAATTAAAAGTTATGGATTTTTGTATCATAATTTTTTAAAAGTATATGAACTAAATGTTGGAATTTGTGAATATATTTATTTTTAATATAAAATGATAGAATCTCAATTTTTTATGAAATGTGTGTATTTAGTAAAGGACACGGCCTTTATATGAAAGGCTATATATCCTCTTATCAAAAGACATGACCTTACTTGAAAAGATATGACTATTTGAATAGCCATAAATAGTCTACATACATAGAATTCATTTTTTGTTTTGTATATATTGAGAAAAAAATATTCCCTCAAAATTCTCTTCCATTTTTGCTATTTACTTAATTAAATACTTTGAGTTCGTTGAGTCATGTGCATGAAGTACTGTATTCATAGATTGTTGAATCTGTCTTATCCTAGGAGACAATTGCTAGCGAAACCTTGAACACCATAGAGAGAACAAAGTTCTCCTAAGGAAACAATGCTACTACTGTTGGATTCGAATTGGTTAATTTTGTGTTTCTTTAATTTCTATATTTCTCTAACACTAAATATACACAATCTTGATATAATTCAAAGACCTATTATAAAATGTTAAAGTATAGGAATTAAATAGAAAGTTTAGGGACCAAACTTATAAGTTATAACACAAGCAGTATCTACAAAAAGAGCTGATGTTGGTAGTCGAACTAATTAGCTATTTAACTTATGAATAATTTTATATTCTTTAAATATTGAATTTTAGGTTAAATTATTTCTCTGTGTCAATTTTAATCCAAATGGATCCATGTCGTAAACAAGGATTTAAATATCTAATTTAATGGAGATGACGAGATCTTAATCTCACAGATATATTCAATAAAGTATACATATGGACATATATTATTCCTTTAAACCAGGAAATCTATAAACTTACCAAAAAAAAAAAACCCATTTAATATGTAAAATCCTTTTCACTCCCTTAGACAAAATTTCATTTCTTTTACCTTAAAAATGTGTTTTTGGATATAGTGAAATCTTTTGGAGTTGCTTTTAGGTTAGAGTTCGTTTTTAAAAACAATTTTACATAAACTGCACCAAAACCTGTGGTATTTTATTCGAAAACATTTTGCTCCTCAACGGTAGGGACCGAATCTGATCCTCGTTTTGACCATTGCATGATACTTACGTTGCAGCAAACATCACCTTTTTCCCATATGTATCTATTTCAAGACTCTATGTGAGTTCAATTATAACTTAATTAGCTCTCAAAATATTTATGGCATACATATATATATATATTTTGGTGTAGTAGATGGCATACATATATATATATATTTTGGTGTAGTTTATGTAAAACATCACAAATAATAACGACTAAATTAAAAATTTTACAAGTATTATGCAAAAACTAAAATGTTAATTTAGCTATTTATCAAATCAATGAACTTGAAAAAAGTTAAATTTTGTTAATAGAGATCATAAACAATTAATGTCGGACATTTGTTCCATGAGATTAATCAAAGTATATACAAACTGCTCCAAACACTCATCCATATCAAAATAATAATAATGAAATAGATACCATGAACCATTTTTTGTCATACACTTCCATTTACAAAATTTTTTGTTTTATGTTCTTTGAACAAAATATGGAAGAAGGTGGAAAGGAAATGCCAATTATGGCATTACATTGGACTATGAGTTTTAGAAAAGTGGAGTCTTCGATAAGGAAGAGAGAGAAAGAGACGAGGGAAAACGAAAAAAAGTCACGAATCAAACTCACATTTTAAAACTTAAAAAACCAAATAGAAACGGATCAAAAAAATTTATAGATCAAATAGAAACCTATCCCAAAAGTGTATTTTACGCTATGGCCTCTTCAAGATGCCCTATGCATAACGAAAGATCCCGTTCATATATTGGCAAATTATTATCCAGTTTAGTGGATAAAGAAAAACAACAAACATTATATAAATTAGAAACTTGAATGCATAATTAAGATACTTGAAATGAAAGTAATGAACAATCTAATAAATTTAACCAACTTACAACAGGGTGTTGTGGCAATACCATGAACACTAAATTGAGCATAAAAGCTTCATCTTCACTTCAGCCATTACAGTACTATGCTGAAACAACTTCACTTTAAGCAACTTTATCAAAACGAGAAAGTAACTAAACCAAGCTCTTTAGCTACAGAGATATTTCATATTGCAACTACAGATCAAACTGAAAATTTATGAGCTATTTTATTACTCAACAAATATACAAAGTAATGAAACCGAAGGGTATACTGACACTACCACCTATAGCAGCATATTATATGTACGTAGGAAGGAATTTCCTAGCGACGAAGGATTGCTCGGAGTTGAAAAGGCGATTATGCTCTAGGATAACGTGAGCGACCTTTCTTCTTTAAGAATTCTGGGATTTCGACCGAACTGCCTTCATTGAAGGAGGAAGGTCTACGGTTGATTCCAAAGTTGCTGTCTCCCTGTTGACTTGCCTGTAATAGAAGAGGTGGAAACAGCTTTATCTTATGGTTTTTAGGATGATTTTGCCAATCGTCACGGACCTAAACCGGAATACTAAATTTAACACATTTCGTGCAGTCACAACAATACCTGAACCGGCCTTCCTTCGCTTTCTTCTTGGCGCTTGAATCCAGTGGCAATTAGAGTTATACTAACCTGAAAATGAGGGGAGGGGGTCAAGTTCAATCATTATGGTAGTTTATTAGCAAACCATCATTATGGTCATTTAAATTAAATCCATAGGACTAGACCAAGGATGAATAACATTAATGTTTCTATTTCCACAAAGAAACACAATTCAAGATTCATATGGTTCTAGGACAATAGGAGGAGATAAACACTGCACAGCTATAGCAAGTGGATGCCCAAAACGCAAAAATGAGAAGTCCACCCAAATATATCAAGACCTGACTATAACAAATCCTAATGCAACTTCAAATGAATTATGGTTGGACTTATAACTTACTTGACCACTGAGTGAAGGATCTATCACTGCTCCAAATATTAAATTAGCAGTTGGATCCACAAGGTCATATATCACCTCTGCTGCAGCATTCACCTGTGAGATTATCCGCGATAAATGTGAAGAACCAGAGAAACTACATTACATCACTGGTAACAGAAATACAGTTTTAAATAAACGTTTAACCCTCCCATCCTATTTCTGAATTGCTGGATCTTAATATTGCTACAGTTAATGGACCTCCAAAATTTCATGAGTTTCTTTGGATTCAAATTCAGGAAGTAAGAGAACTTGTGATTTTTTACGAGACTTTGTTATTTATTTTGTCATTTTTCTCCTTAGACTAATTTTATGTTGCAACATGCGGAATCTATAGATTACTGTCTGGAACGCTTGTGGTACAAAATTTTGCATGAATTAACATTTCATAGGAGTTTTCTTGGGGATGTTTCATCCTTTCCGCGTCCAAAACTTTTAGAGGCAGGACTTCCAAGAAGAGTGTAGTGTAGATCTAAGAATTCATAATGCAGGGTTTATGTGTCTAAAGCCGAGAATTCTAGCTCCATACTGCCAATGAGAAAACAGTATATCCAAACTTCACAGTAATCGCCAGATGCCAGCTACTACAATCTCTTGTTTCCGTTAATATTCATAGGGAGCTGTATTGATCTCATTAACATGGTAGATGAAGCTTCTGGCATACATTATGTATTATATTTATTGTACCTACGACTATGATACATGATTTAAGTTTTAAGAGCAGGGAGATCAAGATATATAAATAAGTTGATTGGCAGGTGGAGAGGGAAACAGAGAGAACCACACCTCATATAAAGTCAAATCACTTCCACCGGTTATGTTCCACACAATTCCAGTGGCTCTTTCTATGCCAATATCCAATAGAGGTGATTGGATAGCATTTAAGGCAGCATCTCTAGACCTCGTCTTTCCTGCACCAATATAAACAAAAGGTAGAAATTGGATTAAATTAGAGCAGTTGATCAAATATTTTAGAGTTGGGAGAAAAATGGGAAGGGAGAGAGACATCTCACTAGGCAACCAACTGCCTCACTGCCAGAGAAAATAAAGTCAAAAGAAAGACCTACAAACTATAGGACACAGACAGTTTTCTTCAGTATTTCAAATTGGAGAGAAGGATTTGCTTATCTCAGGCTGGCTTAGCCCAAGATACAAGGCTGTTTATAACACAGGTTACATAAACTCAAGCTTTTGAAATCTACCTTTAAACTATACAATCTAAGTTTTCATAACTCAATTCTTTTTCAGAATCCAAACACAAGTTATAAAAATATTATAAGAATGTCTTCTCTAATTATTTCTTCTTTTCTATGTCGGAAGGCCGCTCTCGTTAGGTCTTTTATAGTTTTATCTTTCAATTATTTCTACCAATTGCACAAATTTTTGTTATTCCGTTTGTTTTTTCCAGTCCTGTGCCTTGTACATTTCATTGAAACGAAATGTTTCCTAGAAAATTTAGGATTGTAGAAAAGGTAAGATCAGATCCACAAAACGGAAGGATAGAGAACATGGTTTATGATCATAGGAAGGATACTATCCAGTTCAATCTATTTGAATCTTTGATAATTTGTAAGAAATCAGCCGACTGCATACTGAACAGTGGGAACTCAGAGAGGTATCCAAAATAGGTTTCATTTCTCTGATGGAAGTTGAAGAATAGTGAAGCAATTCCAATAGTTTTAAAATTAAAGGTCGTAGATAAAAATGAAATTTTTGTCAGCTCAAAGTTAAGACGAAAAAGAATTAGACCAGACTACACTACATAAACTCCTGTACATCAGTGAAGTATGTAGCTACAGTTACCAGTAGCAGTTCCTATTCCCATCAATGAAGAACCAGCATTTGCCATTATAGCACGGACATCAGCAAAATCTACATTTACCAGCCCTGGTATCTGTATATTGTAATGCAGCAACAGACCACAAGTTAGATTTCAAAGGGGGTGGGTCCATAAAGCAATTCTACTCATTAATTTATGACTAGAACTGGAAGGCATTTTCAATTCATCATGCAGGATTTAACCATCAGGATAGAAAGTAATCACTAAAAGTAGAACTACAGAATCTGAGAAAAATAATTATACATCCGATAAAGCTCAAACTTCACTATATATTTTCTGACAAATTATTTCAAAAGTAAAGGTTTTCATACACTCAATATCATTGAATAGAAGAAATGAAATCCATAAAAAGCTTCCGCCTTCCTGTAAACAAAGAGAATGTATAGTTCAAAATTCTTGAGACTTCTATATACCGTGATGATGTCAGAGATACCACGAACACCTTGCCGAAGAATGTCATCAGCCAAATTAAATGCTTCCGTTACAGGGGTAGCCTGTGAAACTGCTGTCAGTAACTTGTCATTTGGGATAACTATCAGTGTATCAACTTTATCTCTTAAAGTTGCAATTCCTTCCTGTGCTTGAACTGCTCTCCTTCGTCCTTCAAAAGAGAAAGGAGTCGTAACAATACCAACCGTCAATATGCCCATTGACTTTGCAATGCCTGCAATAACAGGTGCCGCTCCAGTTCCAGTTCCTCCACCCATTCCAGACTACAGGCACATAAAGTTAATCCCACAGTTAGAAAAGATGCCAGGTATCAATCCTGACATAAGTGGCAGAATATTATAGTCAAAGAATTATTGGGATGAACCGAAATATATGTTATGTGCCCAGTATCATATATCATATTTATTCATGAGGCACAAGAATCAATCAACTCSACGTCAAAATGAGAAGTATTCTAAGAATGTGTAGAGTAGGTATAAAACCATACAATTAAAGGAAGTTAAAAAGAATTTATAGTTACTACCATACTACCAAAAGGAATATTCCTTTTCGAAAACTCATTTGATAACAACTCCACTGACAAGTGTACTTAGTCTAGAGCAATTCTGGAAGTTGAGTCACCTCTTAAGAAGTTATTTTGGAAGGTGCTCACATGATCTATGTATGAGGCACTCTTCAATCCTAAAAATAATCAAGGACACAAAGTGGTTCAAGTTGCAAGAGATGTAAGGAAATGTTGGGGCATCAAGTACCGAATCTAAATTCCTAGTCCTATTCCAAATCCAGGTGATTGGGACATTACTCATCCATGGTCACTTAGATAACACTACAAATCACGGATTTTGTGTAGGAACTGATAGAGTTTTTTACTCCTTTTGGTTCAAAGTCCCCCTTTTTACGGCTTTTTTGAGTAGGTTTAGCAGTCTTTCGTAACTACTCAAACAGTTTTCATGTAATCCCCCTTAGTTGTGGGGTTGGCTTTCCTCCCATCTTATATATATTTCATAGTGCTAATGTAGTGTCTTAGTTTCTTATCTTTAAAATAATAATAATAACAACAATAACGAAAATAATAATAATAATAATAATAATAATTCGAAGATTAAAAATTAATAATACTAATAATAAAAAAAAATTTCCGATTATGCCTAAATATATGTCATGTCCCATCTTATATCTCCTAATTATGATATAAAATTATAATTTTTTATTTTTAAAAACCAGATTTCACATCTCTCGAGCAGTGACCAAGAAATTAGCCTATCGCAAAAAAAGCATTTGCTCTTTGAAGACACTAGTTTCCAAATAACCGAAAGGCGACAAGATAAGCTAAGAACCGATATATAATACATACGAAGACAAAATTATGTAATGTCTGATATTTAAGAGAACAATGCTTAAGTAACGAGTTCAAAAAAATGAAAATTGGATATAATATGTGATGTTAACATTTGAGATCAACGTCTTGGAAAGGTATAATCCCCAAGTTAAAATACCCTACAAAGCTGCAGAATGTGAACTAGAGAAAACAAACAGTGAGGCAGTACAAGCAGTACATTTAAGGGCTAAACAAGCTTAACTTACAGTGACAAAAACCATGTCAGATCCATAAAGCGCCTCTTCTATAGACTCTTTGCTTTCATTAGCAGCATTCATGCCGATCTCTGGGTTCCCACCAGCACCGAGACCTCTTGTAAGTTCTCGACCAATTTGTAGACGGTTCTCAGGATACACAGGAGACAGTTTCATCGCTTGAACATCTGTATTAACAATCCAAAACTCCACACCATGCATTGAACTTTCTATCATACGATTAACTGCATTGGACCCACCACCTCCAACACCAATAACTTTAATCTTTGCCTCATTGTAATTACTACTGGATGCATCTTCCAAGCTTTCCGTGGAAACCCCACTCATATTATCCTTTCTTGGGCTATTTATTGTATTGTTTCCCTCACCTCTTAGCAATGAGATTTCAGGGTGTAAATCCATAAATGGATCTCTGTTCTGATATGGGCTGACACTGTGAGAATTGGAAGACTTGGCCAAATTTGATTTTTGATTGATACCCACAAACCCATTCCTGTCCTCGGGCATTTTCATGTAGCTAACTTTACCCAAGTGATGCTCCATAGAGACTCTGCCTCCAAGAGCAGACAGTATACCGACAGGATTTCGAGTAAGAGTAAAATTCATCGACGCATAACTTGCCATCATGTAGCAGTGAATCTCCCACCGGCCACCCCGAAACTATGCAGCTGAAAAATGAAAAGAAATTCAGATGCACACACGGTCTAAAATTTCAACAGTTTGACTAAATATGTCTCTATCAAAGAACACGAATTCAGAAGATCAGTGAAAGAGAGGCAATATAAGGGGAATGCTACATCGATAACAAACGAAATACAATTCCTGGAAATCAAGATTTCACAGAGAAAAAAGAACTATAAAATGAACTCCGAAACTCAAAAGTGTCAAAGCAACCCCACAGCTGAAGAACGGAAGAAAGCTCAAAACCGATTACACATTGGCAATCGAATTCAACAGCAGAAGCAAATTAAACCCACTATACAGAGCTACTAGGAAAACACACTGGGAGCAGGAAAGAAACAAAACTTCAAAGCAAGTAATCGGAAACGGAAAAAGCATCAGCATTTTGTAAAAGGGCACCTGAAAATACTTCTGAAAAGTGCAAAATGTCGTGCCGTGGAGCACTACGGATGCAGAATCCAAATTGGCATTGGAAAATGGGGTTGGGTTTAGTGCTTTCGGCCGAAGGGATACCAAATTAGCAAATGTGCTGCGGGCAAACAAACAATTCGGTTCAACAAAACCCCGGCTACCTGTACCGTACTCAACAGCCTTACTCTTTTTTCTCTCTTTTTTTTTTTCCTTCTATTTTTCCTTTACATTTTTCATCCTTTTATTTTGATTTGATAATATTTATTTCACGTAATTTGAAAAATAAAGCAATTGAGCCTGTGGGTGCGGTGTATATATATATATATATTTTATAATCGAATTATAGAAATCGTCAAACATAACTCAACTGTAATTGACATATATCCCAAGAGATTGTGAGTTCGATTTCTCATCCCTACATGTTGTACAAAAAAATTATATAGAAAATTTATTTCTTCGTTTACTTATGGATACAGATACGGTTTTCTATTACAATTTTAATGAAAATTATCCCTAAAAACTTATCATTACACTTTTTTCTTCAAGTGCAAGCATTAAGGTATTAAATATTTCCAAGGGATAGTTTGGATGACTTTGGACTTCAAGGAATAACCTTTGAGGTATTGGGTTCAAGTAATAACCCCTTGCGTATGTACGGGTATGAAAATAGCGCGCATACCTCAAGTATATAAGAACAAAAAGGCCCAAGGGTGATATTTTCATAATATTACAAAGAAAAATTGACAAAATATGAAAAATATTAACAAAATCTCACTAATGTAGACATAATATTTATATTAATTATTTTTAACTTATTTAGAAATGATGAAATATTTATTTGTTAATTTAAATTGTTTTTTCGAATTTTTTATTTTTTATAACTTTTTCAAAAATATCTATGACATTTTATTAAAATTATATATATATATTTTTAATACAATTTCATTAGCAAGATTTTTCACCCCTGTTAGAAAAACATATTCGAATTTTTAACCAAAATTAAAATATATAAAAAAAATGTTCGTGACCTTTTTCATTTTCAAAATTTTGAAGATTGTTTTCAAAAAATTTTAGAAACTAAAAAATAAAATAGTGGAACCAAGGTTAAAATTTTCATTTCTATTTCAATTTATTTTCATTGAATACAAAAGCAAAACATGTAGAGGAGAGGGGAATTGATTCACGACCTGTTCTTTAAGATTCCGAGCACGTAGGATATAACGGCCAACTGGGAACCCCCGAATCCAACAGTTCCCAGAACCAAAACAGGGACAAGCTCCATGTAACTTTCACTCCTTATTTTCGAAATGAAGTACACCCCATAAACGAACATGTACAACGCAGCTGAACCCCCACGTACGACGGATCTGCAACCATTCATTGATTCAATTCAATATCTGTTTAGTTTGAAACAATGGGAAACGAAACGAAACTCCAATTGATTATTAAGCAAAGTCTTTTTCACGAACAATTGTGTTGTAAGTAAGAAAGTGATCAGAAAAGGTTACATGAATAGATGCTGAAGTCCAACGTTCAAGATAGCACCGAGCACGGATGTGAACATTGGACAGTGGCATTTTGAGGCTGTTCTATTATTCATACGACGAATACCTTGGTGAAGATGTCTGTAGATAATCGAAAAATCTGAAAGTTTAACACATACAGTAAAATTTAATTGAACTTAATTAAAAGAACAGATAGAAGGTGTGCTACCTGTTCTTTATGAGGTACGGAAACACATACGGCGAAGCAACTGCAAGAAGCAAGGCGATCCACCAAAAGGTAATGGCAGTCCAAAGCCAAAATGATGAGAAAACCAAGTGTGTGTATTCTTCTTTAAGCCACGAGGTTTTCTGATCAGCTGCAGTTTTATTCCTGGAGGTGTAGTAATTCGAGTTGTTTTTGAGTTTGATATCATTCCAGATTACAGAGTAGGAAAATTCGACTTCGGTTTCAGTAACGTGGGTTATATCCACGGATGAATCGAGACTATTTACAATATTAATGCCCATCACTCGATTATCCATGAAATCGACGTTGAATTCAATGTGATTGAAAAGATAAAACTTCTGTCCGATGCCTTTTTCTTCAACGGCTTCCCCCACCTTACTCTTGAGCCAGTAGTTGTCGAAGTACATCTTGTACTCAGATTTGCCTCCAATATGGGACTTAAACTTTATAAGATCATCTTCAGTCAATTTTTTCTTGCAAAGGAAGCCCTCCGATTGTGAAACGCCAAACTTCAACTCATATCGGGTATTGGTTATGCAATCGCCTGCCAGAATATCATTCAGGGATGTCTTTCTTTTGGGTATCTTTTCTGTAGTCAATGAAAATGTATAACATATTAACCAGTCATTCATCGTATTGAACTCAAACAAAAAAATGATGTACATAATGAAGAATCAAAGAAGACAATTGCCCTTAATTTGTAGTAAATTCAAAAAATCCATATAAAATATCAAGAATTTATAGATTTCTTTCTAATTAGCCCTAAAATTATTAGAAGGGAAAGATTATGTATACAGAGTTAGAATATAAAACTTTGCCCTCACGAACATGGCTTCGCCATTATCAATCAAAGAGTGTTCGAGCATCTAATGAAGAGAATAATATGGTCTTCACCTCCTGGAGGACAAAATGGAAGCGAAAAATATGCTTGTGCCTCACTGCAAATATAAAAAAAGGGGGAAAATTGATTACTGATACCACAATATTGATTACTGTAATAGAGTTAAAGATACCACAATCATATGACAAGTTATATAGTTTTGGTTTCATGAAGCAAGCAATGCAAATGTAGTTTTGGTTCATATACTAGTTCTTTTTTATGCACTTTCTAAGCAAAAGAAGCAAACGGATGAAAACTCAGATAATCGCTGCGCACTAAAATATGCATCAAGCAGATTGTGCATGAAATTTAAATATATACTCTTCATCACAACCTAACTGGATCATTTTCATTTTCAAATGTTTATGTGGAAAAGCGGCGGGGAATGTATCTTGATAAACTCAGATTTAAACCCCTCGGAATTCAAACTTTTACTTCGAATTTCTGATCAGATGCAAGAAAATTGAACAAAGACATCGGAAGAACTCACTCTTTTTGCTACAAGAATCTTTTTACAATGCATCATTAGTTTTCAAATATCCAAAAAGCGTCATGAGACACATTATGATATGATAAATCTTTTCACTAACTCTGTTCATTGTCCATCTCATATTTCCTGATGTTTTCCGAGCAATCCTACTGATATAGCTTAGGAATTGGGACAAAATGAAAACAAATATTGCAAGAAAATGAAAAAATATCGATCACCGGAGAAATTTTACCATCGTTGATCATGAGCCACAAATACTGTGTTGACGAACAGAGGAATCCGCTCTCCATATTCGTAACCGCAATGCTTGGGTAAAGAATCGTATCTTGTTCTATCAGTAGCTTTGAGAAATCTCTCGGAGAAAATGAGCGGCAGAGAAAGTACCAAAACGAGGGCGAAGTAAATCAGTTTCCGAATTGGCGCCATGGATCCGACGAGCGAGAGCGAGATTCAAAAACTGGAGGGAAAGTGAAGTCCTCAACCTCATTATATAAATATTTTTACGTGGAATTTGTGATGAAATCTCAACCGTCAAGATCATGATGTGATTTTGATGTAGACAAATGGACGGTGATTAAACATGTGCAGAGTTAATTTCCGTGTAAGCGGCTACAAAAGGCTGGTCCAAGTTAATTACTGCGGCAGTTAGTTAGTTAATTACAAAGTTACAGGGTTTCAGTCTGAGTTTTGGACTTTCACAAGCTTCCATGGATCACCTAAATATTTATTCAATTTAAATGAATAAAGAAAAAGAGGGACCTTTCTTTAAATAATATAAGTAAAAAAATTACAAGTCGGGATAGGTTTGAAAATATTTTCAAAACTAAGATAGTGCATGTGATTTCAATCACATATATTGGATGCAATTTTGTCAAAACTTGTATTCAATGGATGCAAGTATATTAAAACTACTCTATTATTGTATTTTTTAAAATTTTATTTACATTAAAAAAAAAGTTACTTTGCAACCTACAATACTTTTGTACTTTTTGTTTTTAAAATTACATTATTGGAGAAATTAACCTTACTTATGTTTCAATTATGGTCAATTTTTATAAGTCCTTGTCTAATTTATACTCACATTTTCAACCTTACTTATGTTTCAATTTGAGTTGGCCCTGTCCTACTCAATTTTTTAAAGTCAAGTGATGTAACCACAAAAAAAAAATAATAATAATTAAAAAAAAAAAGAACAAGTTTAGATCAATAGGTTTGAATGTGAAACTTTTAGATTGAGCTTTTTAAGATATGCACTATTTACATTGAATAGACATTTTAATCTTATAATAAAATTATCTAAAATTCTCTCTCTCTCTTTCTTTCTTTTTTATAACTAATTGTCAATTTTAGTAATTATCTTATAAAAGATTATCCAAAATAATTACAGTAAATAAATTAATTAAAATAAAAATCAATGTTAGAATTAGAAACAAAGGCAACAGTCTAGGCTGTAGCATGGCAAGGGTCAAAAAGTTCATCGTATATACGCAACGCAAACCTTCCCAAATTTCATTATATAATCCGTTTCATCTTTTCCTTTTTTCTCAAGCAGCAGTGGAATTGCATAGTTCCGATCTTATCTTTGTACGATTTCTCTGCGCACCAACTTCCATACAATTCCCCAAATTCCCTCTGTTTACTCTCTCTTTCTTTGTTTCCGGCGATTGTTCTGGCCGCCGGAGTTCGATCGAGATCAGTTTCGTCTTAGTATCCAGTAAGTCAGTTCCCCATTCCGATAATTTCTCTTTATTTTCTTTGCGTATTGAAATTGGTAGGTTAATGTTTCGGTTTCTTGTATCAAGAATTAGATTGATCAACCACCTTGCATATGGTCGCGTTAATTAGTTTGTTCTGTTTGCTGACGATCGATTCCTAAAGCAAGATGGAATTTCTTGAAAATTTTCAAGTGGGCATGATCAGTTTTAGTAAAACCCAGATTCTAGATTTAGTAAATACTTTAGATGTAAGAATTTTGTTTTAGTGGGTAGTTCTCTTTCATCTATTTTTCAGATCCAGCTTTTTGATGGGAAGTTGTATTGAATCTTTTTTGTCAATTTGGTTGATTTCGGTGATACGGAGCCCATTTTTATTAGTCTTTGTGGTTCTTGTTAATTTCTGCAGATATATGATGGACGCTCGGCAACTTTAAATCTTGTTCTTGGGTGTATGTTCATACTTCTTGGGTGCTGGAATTTTACGTCCTGTGAAAATTTGTGGAAGTAACTGCTTCATCTTCTGCTTCTTGTACTGGGAATGGAGCATCTTCCTGTTGAAGTGATTGGAAACATACTTTCCCAGTTAAGAGGTGCCCGAGACGCAGTGATTGCTTCGGCAACTTGCAAGAAATGGAGAGAGGCTTGGCGCAATCACCTCCACACCCTCTCTTTCGATTCTCGTGATTGGCCCACTTATCATGAACTCTCAACGAGCAGATTGGAAATTCTTATAACTCAAACAATATTCCAAACAACTGCGCTGCAAAATTTGGCAATTTCAATGGATGACGTGGAAGAATTCTCTGCTGCAGCAGTGATGGCTTGGCTCATGTATACTAGGGATACTCTGCGTCAATTGCATTACAATGTCAAGACAACCCCGATCTTCAACATTATTGAGAAATGTGGTCGACAAAAGCTTGAAGTGCTGGCACTGGCTCATAATTCTATAGCAGGCGTAGAGCCCAGCTATCAAAAGTTCCCTTGCTTAAAATCACTTTCGCTGAGTCATGTCAATGTCTCTTCATTGGATTTGAGCCTTCTTCTGACCACTTGTCCTAAACTTGAGAAATTGGCTCTGATCAGTCCTGATGTTGCAATGTCTGATATGGAAATTAGCAGTGCCTCATTGAAGGATATATATGTTGAAGCAATCAGTTTGGACAAGTTTGTATTGGAGGCTGATACCCTTGAAGTTATGCATCTAAAAGATTGTACTCTTGAGCTGTTTGAAGTAGTTAGCAAGGGCGCCCTGAGGGTTCTGAGGATCGATGATGTTAGTGTCATCCATCTTGATATTGGTGAGAACATGGAAAATCTTGAGGTTGTAGATGTCTGCAACTTCACAATTATGTGGCCAAAATTCTACCATATGATCTCAAAATCATCGAAGTTAAGGAAGCTTCGGCTCTGGGGTGTTGTATTTGATGATGAGGATGAGGTGGTGGATTTAGAGACTATTTGTATGTGTTTTCCTCAGTTAAGCCACCTATCACTATGTTACGATTTGAAAGATGGAATCCTTCAGCATAGCTTGCAGGGGTCATCTCCTTTGTTGAATGTCATAGTGCTTGAACTTGGGTGGAGTGTAGTTAATGATTTTTTCTCAGAATGGATGGAAAAGCTTCTAGGAAGGTGCCCCAATTTGAAGAAATTGATCATATGTGGGGTTGTTTCGGAGGTCAAAACTCATGAAGAATGCCAAACTTTAGCGAACTTCACCCTTTCCATTGTCCAGCTGATGAGAAAGTATATGCACGTGGAGGTTCAGTTTGAGTATGAATAGAAAGTTCATGAAGGTCTCCAAGTTTATTTGAGAGTTGTACGAGATTGTATACATCCTATAAGGATTCTGACGATCTTACTTGTTTCACAGTCATAATTCTGAAAACCTTTGTCTTTCTTTACAAGCTGCATTCATTACTTTGAGCAATTGTCAATTACAGTCCTTGACAAATGGCAAACTTTTTCTCGTCTTTTCTTTTCTTTTGCGCAGGTTCATTTTTAGAGACTTACTAGGATTCTGTATCAATCTTCTTTGAATTTGTATATTGTTCCAACTTCCCTGAACTCTTTTTCTTTTCCAGTTATACTTGAATAGCAAATAGAATTCATAATCACATGCATTTCATTTATCCAAATCCCAAGCCCAGGAAACATGTTTTTTTTTACTGGTTTATGTAACTCTTATCTTCCGCTGTTGTATTTGAGCATGAGCATCTGTGAGGCTATTTTCTATCAAAACTGAGATAGGAAGAATCTCCTGCTAAGAGACTCCAATCTCAAGCTGCAAAGACAAAACTTTGATAAATAATTTATCCCCTTATATCAGAGGAAGTCGCATTGCACATTTATTTTCTGAAAATGCCATCAAGACATTGTTTGTCGGATTACAGATTCGGGACAGTTAATGATTTTACTGTTGTCCCTTGAGTTTTACAGCTTCTCAGCTCCTATCCTTTACGTATAACTTGCAAGTGTGGAAGCAAAACCCCTTATTTACGAAAGAATACATCAAGTAAGTAGCCAGCTAGTGTCTGTGACTAGTTAAATGGTCCACATGGGCAGTTTCTGGTTTCATTTATATATATTTTTGTCTGATTGTATAGAAGGGTCACAGAAAGCAGCCAACTCTGTTTGTTTGCAAAATTTATTACCAGTTGTATGTTTACAGTTTGGGAATGTTAAAAAGATGCTTCCCAATGCTCTCCCATTTTTTTTCTTAGCGTTTAGCTCATTTGAGCCATTTGTATTGTCTCATTATTGAGCTTGCTACTAGTTATTGGATTGTGCTTTTGGGGTTATTCTCTCTTTTTCTCCTATGGCATGGTGTCTGTACATGAATAATTCTTGTTGTCTCTTCTTTTCTACATGTTTTCTCTCCTTAATAGCATTGTCTAGTGGAGGGCTCTTATTCCAGCAGTTGGGACTGAATTCTAATTTATCTTGTTCTTGAGAGTTTTAAGTACTTTTGTTTGATAATGATAACAAACAGGTATTAGAAAGGGGATTTTGAGTTTTGAAGAATCAAGGTGAAGGCAATCTTGATCTTGACACAACTACCTTATATGAAAGGGTCAATAGATTTTCTGCACAATTGTCATTCTTGTTCAAAAACTAACTCTGTGCATGTTCGAGGAAAATCAATAGTTTTACGTGTCTATGCATTTAAAATACTTTGTTAGTGTCGAGTCACTCCTCATATGTGTTACGTGTTCGATCAAGTTGTGCAAAGAGTGAAAGGAAACTATATTGACTCATTTCAACCTTTCTTGCTCATCACAACCATGTTTTGGTAGAGACAAACACCTCGCAAAGACATGTGAGCAATAATGTGACACTATGGAACGTTGTTGAAAGAACAATTACTTTGTCAAAACCTTGTCATTATTTATCGCGCATATATCAGTCAAATCAACTCGATTGGCACCACTAGCACACCTTGTAGCCTTGCAACCCACTTGTTCTTGGGCACAACCCATTCTTAACTGCAGTCACACAAATGGTTCCACAGTGACAAAAAAAATAGAGGGAGTTTTGAATGAACTCTCCTAGATTGCTATCCTACTCTTTAAACAGTCATATTTGTTGTTAAGCTTAATTAAACTTTCAAACTCTTAGATGACTTCCTATTATTTTACAAGTGACAAGTATAAATCTACACATCTATATCGAATTCAACATGAAATTTCTCATTTAACTTCAATTTTCTACAGCCATTCTTCAATTAAAAAAAAATCTTAAAATAAACATATTTTTCACTCAATTATCCAATGTTATATATTGAACCACTTTTATTCATATTCATTGTTTTTAACAACAAGTGAATCGTGGTCAAACTTGGTCAGGTCAGTGGTCGGCAAGATCTCAGAGATCGGGTAATGTCTCATGTAAACCACGTACAAGAATACTTGCACGAGGGAGTAAATACTCCGAACTAGAATACCATACCTGATGTTGGAGTGCAGTCCCCTAGTTATAGATTTGGGAATACCATTAACGTCTGACAAGCAGTTGGGGAGTAGGTATACCGAACTGCGAGTGGTTAGGAGTAGGTACACCTAATCGTTGGTTGCCCGAATGCATGGTCGGAGGTCTTCCGACCATAAGGTTCTTCGAGTCGCCTCTTTCAAGTCGTTCCTTCCCAACGTTTCGGGACAGAATCACAAGAACAGATCATTTTCTCCACGTGGCATGAGTATAATAACTTCTACCCTAACTCCAAATAAGTTTATCATTGCGTACATATAATAGGTAATTATAACGGCAAATAAAAAAAATTGGAGTAATAATAACCTCACATTGATTACATAAATGGCCGTGGATTACAATCATTTCTTTCCACACCATATCCTTGTGCCTTAAGCCTCAAGTAAAAATAGTGGTTTGCAGCTCATTTGAGAGCAATCAAGCATGCACCACGAATCAAGGAGATACAATCATGATGTATTGGCCATTTTTGCAAGTATCATGGAACTAAGACTTTTTATATGTGAAAATAATAATAATAATAATAATAATAATAATCTCATCTTATATATCATTTTTCTTCTTTTATCTATTATTCCCAATTTTGATTTGTGGACATATCATATATATAAATATATTTATATTTATCATCGATTTCATAATCTCTATTTGATTTGGATTTTAAAAACTTAGAACTAAAATAATGGAATGAAGAAGAAAACAGAAAAGATTAAGAAATAATTAACGATATGGATGACTTTTAAAAATTAAAGGTTTTTCCTTTTTATTTTGGACAAGCTTTAAAAAAGTATTTGGTGGGTGATAAGAACATTGCATGGGTAAATAATCATATGGAAGTATATTAAACTTATTCTATTGCATTTAATATTTCAATTTTTTTTGGTTAAGAGGCAGATTTAATTCTGATTTATTTCATTTTAATTTTAGTATGTAATGAGGTAGTTTTTATGGTGGGAAGTTTTTAACATAAATTTTTAATGATTCAAACATGAATTTTTTTTTAGAACACGTGGGGTGGAGATCGAACTCAAAAATTTTCCGTTAGAGATATATGTCAATTACCGGTAAACTATGCTCGCTTTGATTGTGAAAATTTTTGTTAAGGGTTGATGTGACAGTGACTTAGATGTCACCAACTTATCATTTATTTTCTAGGCACATGACCTTACTTTTGTACGCGTGAGATTTAGATGGATGTCAATACTTATAAATTTTAAGGACTAAATTTTTATACACAAAAATTCAATGTCTAAATTAATCTTACATTGTTTTAGTACAATAAACATGGGATGAGAGATTGAATCTCCAACATTTTAAGAAATTGGTAAAATGCCTCAACTGCTAAACTAAACATTTTAAATTACAATCGGTGAAAAATTACATTAATTATATATTTAAAGTTAATAGTTTAAATCATTACTCTAACATCGAATTTAATGCCTTGCTTTCGATAAATGGAAACCGAAATAATTGGTAGAACAACATCATTACTCTATATATTATGTACATATGAACTTTTCACCACATTTGCTTAAAATGTGCCTTGGATCAAGCCATAAAAAAATATCCTCTTTCTACACCTAATGTATTACATTCTGCATTTCTATATAAACCCATCAAAACCAAGATCCTCGGAATCATCAAACACAACAGATTCGAGCACTTGAAATCAAAATGTCTCCGAAAATGTTCATACCCATTTTCTCATTTCACCTCATGATCATGATCATAACAATCGTCATGGCCTCAGACCCCGACCCACTTCAAGATTTCTGCATACCAAACAACAGGCCCACGCCCACTGGCCCGTGCAAGGACCCGACCGCCGTCACCG